TAAATTGACACCTTTGTCTAAAACAAATAATTAACCGTATATGTGCGGGTCTCTTTTGGATTCTATTTTGTTCCATTGGCCTATATGTTTATTCTTATGCCAGTACCTCTCTGTCTTGATTATTAAATCATGAAGTCAGTCTAATGAATACTTCAGCTTTTCTTTTGCAAAATTATTTTTTATTCTAGATTCTTTGCTTCTCCATATTTTTGCAAAACAATTTCTGGGATTTTGATGGGAATTGTTTTGAATCAATAGCTCAATTTGGGGAGAACTTGGCAGTAGTAAGCCTTCTAATCAAAGAGCATGGCATAGTTCTTTACTCAGGTCTTTTCTAATCTCCCTCATCAATGTTTTATCATTTTCAGAATATAAATCTAGTACATATTTTGTTATATTTATCCATAGATATTTTATGTTTGATACTATAAGAAAGATTTAAAATTATTTTCCATTTTCAGTTCATTCCTAATACAAAGGGAAAAATAGGAAACTTTTGTATAGGAAACTTTTGTCCTGCAATCTTGACAATCTCACGCTTTTTTTTGTTATTGCTTTGTTCTGTATATTCTTTGAGACTTTCTACACAGATCATGTTTTTCAAATGAAGACAGTGTCCTTTCTCTCTTTCTAATCTACTAGAGGCCCGATGCACGAAGATTTGTGCAAGAATGGGCCTTCCTTCCCCTGGCTGCTGGCACCACCTTCGCTCCAGCCCAGAGCCACCTTTCTGCCTTCATTCAGGCCCGGAGCCTCCTTTCCACTTCCCACGCTGCCCAGAGGCCCAGAGCGGCTGGGGAGGTGCAGAACGCCTGTGTCATCACCATGGCAATGACGCAAGCATCCCACCCCGCCCCCAGCTACTGGGCGCCTGTGTATACAAATTAACCTGCCATCCTTGTTGGGTTAATTTGCATACTCACTCCTGATTCGCTGGTGGGTGTTGTGAAGGTATGGTCAATTTGCATATTTCTCTTTCATTAGTGTAGATATGCTTTTAATTCTTTTAATCCTCTCCTGGGGATATGTTTTTATTGATTTCAGAGACAGAGAGAGAAACCTCAATCAGTTGCCTCCTGTATGTGCCCTGACTAGGAATCAAATATACAACCTGTGTGTGTGCCCTGCTCAGAAATCAAACCTGCAAACTTTTTTTGTACAGGACAACACTCCAACCAACTGAGCCTCCTGGCCAGGACTATGCTTTTTATTTCTTCTTGCCCCAGTACATTAACTAGGATTTTCAGTACAGCATGTCCTTGGATAATGTCATTTTGTTCAGCATTATTTCATTGCTAGTGGCTCGTTGCACGAAATTCATGCACATTAAAAGGGGATTAATTAGAGGAAATATTTTAATATTGCTATTTGCCCTTTCTCTATAATAGAAGTGTCAGAGATTAAAGAAAATTAGTAAAATATATATGAAAATCTTCCTCCTGTCAGAGTCTGGGGTGCACCATGGGACCCAGGGTCAAGTCCCTGCCCACCCATGTGCGCCTCAAAGTCGCACGAGACCCAGACCTAGCCAGTCACCCCCCATTGGGCTAGATTCAGACCCGGCCTGTCCCACCTTTTTCAAGCCTGTCTGGGAGGGGGTAAAGCTTCAGATGGCCTGAGATCCCCTGACAAGCCCCGCCAGGTGGGGGCGTGGCCTGAGGTCTCCCATCAAGCCCCGCTGGGCAGGGGTCACGACCTGAGGTCCCCTGGCCCAGGGAAAGGGGAGCAGCCTGAGGTCCCCAGGCCCAGCACTGGGATGAGGGGGCATACCTTGAGGTCCCCCGTCAAGCCCCGCTGGGCGGGGGGCGTGGGCTGAGGTCCCGTGTCAAACCCCGCCAGGCAGGGGGCACAACCTCAGGTCCCCTGGCCTGATGCCGGGGCGAGGTTGTGGCCTGAGGTCCCCTGTAAAGCACCGCTGGGCGGGGCGCACAGCCTGAGGTCCCCTGGCCTGGTGCTGTGGCATGGGGAGCAGCCTGAGGTCTCCTGGCCCAGCACCAGGGTTGGGGGCACACCTTGAGGTCCCCCATCAAGCCCTGCTGGGTGGGGGGCATGGCCTGAGGTCTCCTGTCGAGCTCTGCTGGGTGGGGGGGCATGGCCTGAGGTCCCTCAGCCTGGCGCCAGGGTGGGGGTGAGGCCTGAGGTCCCCTGTAAAGCCCCACAGGGGTTGGGGGGGGCTCAGCATCAGGTCCCTGCTGATTGCTCGTTAAGTCTCGTTATGGGAACTCAGCCTCCGCTGTGGGTGCAGCCATCTTGTGTTATGGAAACCCCACCTCCGCTGTGGGCACTGCCATCTTTGTGGCAGAATGACAGTCAATTTGCATATTCCCTCTTTATTATATAGGATAACATTGATGAGATGCTGTAGGAACTTAAATCTTGTTTGTATCAGTTAGCCGATGGTAAAGTTGGTTTGGGTATACCTTGGTTTGCTCAAAGTCACAGAACTTACAGATGAGGTTAAGTGAGAGTTCACTGCCACACTGTTTAATAGGAGTGGTGAGAACAGGCATCCTGGTTTTATGGGGAAAACATTCTTGGTTTTCAGCCACTAGGTTCTGTATCTTGCTGTACGTAGGAGTTTTTATTGAAGGCGAGACATTGTACCTGGAAAAATATAGAAGCAGTGGATGATGGTGTCCTCCAAAGAGGATTTAATTCTCTGGCAGACAGATGGGGCCACAGTCGGATAGAGGTGGATATATTTCTGTTTTGCCCTTATTCCTGGAAAGTATCCCTAGGGTTTGAGCTGAGAGCCTGTGGGGTTCACCAACCCCCTTTAATCTTGGTGATCCTTAAAATCTAGCCTCTGACTCCCCTACCCCCTCAAGATTGATGAGCTGTCTCCTCACCTCCTTCACCTCCCAGATGCTGCTCACACACATGTGCAGCCCTGGAGCTGACATATGCTCAAGGGGGAATTGCATGTAGAATTATAAGCTGACGTCCCTGCAGTTTGCTCCTCTTCGAGATCTCAGTCCCTCAGCTGCCCTGGTGGCCCCAAGCTCCCACCTCTGTGTTCCCAGCCCAGCGAGGCTGCCGCAAGCTCCAGACCCCTCTTTCTGCTTGGCTTCTCTTCCTCTCACATTTTATTGGCAAATTCCCTGAAGGAGGAAAAAAAGAGCATTCCTTTTCTCCAATACCTGACTACCTTGGCTTTTTTCTGATGCCTCATATTCCGTGTGCCCCGCCAAAGACATCCACACTCAAATCCCTAGCATCTGCGGAAGTTTTACATCACACAACAAACAGGAATTAAAGTTGCAGATGGAATTAGGTTGCTAATCAAGTGACTTTAAAATAGGGAGATGACCCTACATTATTCAGCAGGGTCCTTCACATGAGCTCTTCAAAACAGAAAGGAAGGCAGAACCGTGGGTAAGAGAGATGTGGCATGAGGACTTGACATGGCCAGCTTTGAAGATGGAGTAAGGGGCCCACGAACCAAGGAATGTGGTGGCCTCTGAAATGGCTATTAGTTTAGAGCCAGCAAGAAAATGGGACCTCAGTCCTACAGCCACAAGGAACTGAACACTACTGACGATCTGAATGAGCAGGAAACCGGTTCTCTCCTAAAACCTCCTGAAAAGAAGACTTGGTTTTAGTCCAAGAGACCCACACCAGACTTCTGATCTACCTGCCCCTTTTATGTAAGCTCCTAATTTTGTGGTAATTTGTCACCGCAGTATAGAAAACTATTACACAATTGTTCTGTATGTTGTCCAGCTTTTACAGTTGTTCTCAGGTCAAAGATGAGCCTTTTGTAGTTCACTGTACCCATCAAGAGTTCAGTCACAGAGTCAGAATCACTGTCCTTTGTGGGATAAAGATTTTATTATAGATCTTACCTAGTTATTGGAGGAGCTGGGAAAGTGAAGGCCTAAGAAGAAAAACATCAATAACCCATCAATTTGAGAAGCAAAGCACAACCACCTGGCAAAAGAGGCTGCATAGGAAGGCCCATAGGAAGCCATGCGTCCATGTACCTGCCACCCTAGGGTCTACCACGTGGCTGGTTGAGAGTGGGAGCCACTGTGGGTAAGCCGGGTCTTCAGCCAGGAAGAGGATATAGAGTAGAGGAAGGTGAGGACAAGCTGGAACTGCCAGCGCTTCTGTGTCTGCACAACACTAATGAATAAGTAACTGCTTCACTCCCATCCCCAAATCTTGCACAGATTTTTCTCTTGCCCAACCATAGAGGTCAGGGGATCGTGGAAAAGCAGTTTCAGTCTCACCAAGGTGACACAGTACCAACAACCACAGTCTACCCTTTGTACCTGTATTTAGGGCGCCTCCAAAGAAAGACAATAGCAAAATGCTCCCACCTAACATGATGCACGAATGTCTTTGTGGTCTTCCTTACAAAAACCGTTATCTCAGTCTAATCATGAGAAAAGCATCAAACAAGCCACAATGGAGAGACATTCTACCAAATACCTGAGCAGTACTCCGCCAAGCTGTGCAGGTGATAAGGAGAACTCGGAGGAACTACCATAGCCAAGAGGAGCTGAGGAAGGTAGCAAAGAATTTGTGCCCGTTTGTAATCCACTGAACTGTTTGTGCAAATCTGTTTATTTCCTTTACTGTAAATCCTTGAATCGGAATTGCTAAAACGAAGTTAGTCTTCATTTAAAAAATTTGACACACACCCAAAAGGCCCTGTGTTTGGGTTTTACTAGTTTGCGTTCTCATCAGCAGTGTTTGAAAGTCAGTTCCTCTGTGCCTTCCCCAACACTGGATAACATTACCCTTTTTTATTTTTTCCAGTTTAAAGCAAAATTTATTTGCATTTTTGGATGCCGTTGAGGTTGAACAATTTCCATGTGTTTATTGGCCATGCGTACATGTTCTTTTTTGAATCGCCTAATCTTGTCCTTTGCCCATTCTTGTCTTGGGCTATTCCTAGTTTGAGTGTTGATGTTGGTCTGAAATCTGGGTTATTAAAGTTTAATTGACCTCAGACAACCCTACTAGGTTTAAATATTATGAATTACCCTTGCCCAAAATAATCTATCCTCATTTCTATTCGTTTATTCTTTACTTCCCTAGATCATATCACCATTTTCAGTCCTTTCTTTTCTCAGATTCACAATATTAGAACTGCAAATCGCCTCACTTTTCAGTTGAAGCCATTGACATCAAAAGAGGAAAGGGTCTTGTCCTTTCTGAAGGTGGAAGAGTCCACTAGCTTTGGACCCATAGGACCAAGATTTTGGCTTCTGGTCAACACTACGCCGACAAGGCATTTAACCCCTTCACCACAAGGTTTGTGTCCTTGGGCCTGGCACTAAGAAACTCAGTTCATCTATGACTTTTGCTTCTTGAGTAACTTGGATCATAAATTCTCCCTGCCCCAACTGGCTAGGTGGCATTTGATAAGTTGCTTTAACTGTGGGGCCTTGGATTCTCCACCCATTAATGGGAGCATTGAACTTCTGCTAAATGACTCAAAGGCACACTTTTTACTCTTGAAGTCTTATTTAAGAGGGACGTTTATAGGGTATGGATTAGGGAATCAAGCCTAAGTGGAAGTCAGACCTTTAAGAAATTTATTTCAACCAAGAATGCCTATTTTTGAAGGGAACCTAATCAAAGCATTTTTAAAATAGTTTTTAATTACAGGTTCGAAACTTTGTTATTTGTAATACCTTTTTAGAAGCATGAAAATAGCATTTCTCCCTGTACCAACTTTGTGCTTTTCCATTTGGTAAACACTGATTTTATTTCTCTCTCTGCCTGTAGGAGTAAACCAAGCCAGCTCAGCACTTCCTGTTTACCTCCTGGTAATACATATTGTACATGGTGACAGGCCTGCTCACAAAATAAGCTTCCTTGGTTTAAGTCTGCATTTTCTGGTTAGGCAACCAGCCTGACGATATTTAAACAATGAAGCAATTTGGCTATGGAAGCCTTGTCCTAACCTTCCCCACTTCAATTGTCCGTGGAAAGGAGAGGCCCTGAATCTAATTAGGACCGAAATGGGGCATCACACAGTGCCTTTCATTTGAGAATATCAAAACATTGTCAACTCTTAAACTTGAAGTGTGTAACATGGGCGACCACAAAGATAGTAAGTAACCTGATTTCTTCTTGAGACTCTCAGTGCTCTAAATATCTATTTTTAAGGAAGAAAAATGCGTTTTCTGTGTATTGAGTGACTAAAATGTAAGCTTAGAAATATTTTATGTTTCCATCAGAGTTTATTCTGCTTAGCATAAATCATCAGAGCCGACCACAGCTTGCCATTTACCGGAGCCTTTTCAGTTGTATTACACTCATGTCAGACACACCTTCGTACAAGTCCCTCCAGGTCAAAGTTTAGAAATTCTGCCTCTTCCGCCCCCTTCCCCAACTCAACACTTACGGAAACATACGCTAATTGGAACAGAAGCAGCCTACCCCACTAATAGGGTTAGAACACTCTTAACACAAGATTAATGAGATAGAAGTTTAGGGGGGAAATAGCATTCCTCAAGCAGTCGGAATGCAGATGCCAAGTGAAAGCCAACAACTTTCCTGAACCCGTCAAATCCCAAGCTTTGCTTTCCCTTGACCTCGCTCAAAGGCATTAAGGGAAGGAAGAAACTGTCGGACCAGCCTTGCTCTGGCCACTGTTGCCACCGCTGACTCAGTGGCTCTCCCGGTTCCCTGAGGCCTGAGCCCAGCTGTCCCTGTCGTGGAAAACAAGACCACAGACTCAAGGTGCAGAAAGAGACTCTACAAACAGTCTGCTGAGGTGGCCCAGACAGGCCGCAGGTGGCCACTTGTGTTTGTGACTGACCTTTGTAGGCGTGTGGCTTACACACCTGCACTCAGAGACCATGGACACTTAAGGTCACAGATATTGGCAAGAGGTGAAGTCTGTGGAATATTCTACCTAGTTGATGTGTGACTGAGTCACGGGTCAGCAGACGTCAAGAGCTATCAGAGGCTTGGAGAACAGTATGTGATTAGACTTAGAGGGAGAAAAAGCCTAAGGATCTTAGCAATTAGCAGAAACCGCGTGACGGGTGTGTATTATTGGAGGCAAGGGGGCTGGTTTCCTCTTCAATTTCCACCTTTTTCAGGATCCTTTGCCTCTGGTGCATGCCTGGCTCTTTATAAGACCCCCTACATCCTTCCAAAGCTGACCAATCACTCTGGAAGTAAATTTTACACGTTTACAAAGTGATCTTCTTACCTAGAACCCAGACCTTAGCTTCTAAGCATTCTGCACCGGTACTCAGGCTCCTTGGAGAAACGGCTGATACTAGGACTAGGGCAGGGAAAGAGCCTGAGAAAATGAGCCTGGAACATCTTAACTTGCCAGAAAGTAAGAAGTTGGTCAAAGAGCCATGGGTACGTGTCAGAAATGGAAGGTTGTAGAGACTCCCAACTGGCCAAATCTGCAACAATTTGAGCGTAAATGACAATAACGGGTTATCACCCACAGAATAAAATAAATACCCTTGAGTCCCCACAGTGTAAGTAAGTAGATAAATGGAGGAGAAAGTGGTAGCTCTTCTTTGACACAGAACGACAGCTAATAAACAGACGGAATCACAGCACTGCAAGACCATCAACGGGGGAAATACAGACAGGCGTGTACATTTACATAGTCTCACATCACATCCCCACAAACCACAGACACAAACCTACTCCTCTTTTAATTATTCATTGTAAATATTGTTGATCAACATATTGTTATTGTTTTGGTTTGCAAATGTTTAAGCACTTCTTTTACTTAAATGTTGTGTTCAGATTTTTAAAAAAATGACAGAAATGTATAACAGTTCAAAGAATATCTCCAGCGATGACAAGCCCTTTGATAAAATAGACTTGGGGTAAATGCCTAATCCAGCTATTTTTGTTCAGACTCAATCTGGAAATTGTCCTCCCCTCAGAGAGCCAGAGCCGGGCAGCCCGGCACAGTCCTGAGAGCAGAGCTCCCAGCGCCCTGCAGGCAGATGCTGCTGCTCCCGGCTGGCACCTGGGCCCCATCTGGGCCCTCCCCCGGCGAGGACCTGGCCTTCTTTGCCCCCCCCCCCCCGAGCCCCCGCTTTTGCTGTCTGTAGACCAGAAACACTGTGTCCAGTTACTGCGATGATGAGGTATCCGAGGCAGGCAGGATGCCAGTGTCCAGCGAGGGCAGACCGGGTAAACAGGACGCCCAGATAGTGCTGGCTCAGCTGGGCTCCTGGCCACCTGGGTATGTGCTGAACTGACTGCACCAGCAGCCCCGGGAGACGGGACAGGCACCTCGGAGACTGCATTCAGACGTTAAAACACACACCCACGGAACAGCCATCCCAGACCTCTAATCTTACTTTATGACCAAGCTATAATTACATTACAGCAATTACTTGAATATTACATTTTTATTACTGTTATGTCATTATGTCTACTAGGAAAAAATATGCCTACTCTAACCAATAAAATTCTTAATGACTCATTTAAGCTGTGTCTACACGAAACCCCTGACTTAAACATTTCGGTCAAAATAATGTTTAGGGCCTGGGGGAAGAGGAGGGTTAATCTCCATCTACGTGATTGCCCAAAAAAGCAAGAAAAATTCCGTTTGTAGATGTACCTCTGGCGATTAAAAAGTTCCAGCCGGGGCTAAATTAGAACGTTATGGTTACAGTTAAGAGCCATCAATTCTTTATCATCCGTTGGTCAGTTCCAACTACTAACAAAGAGTGGAGCTGGGGGCTCGGGAAACATGCATGTCTCCAGCCTCCAGAGGCACCGAGGCCCATTTTCTCTGCTTCCAGGACGTCAAGGGCCCGGCCTGGAAGGATTCTTTAGAGGCCAATTAGGCCAGTGCGTGCAGCCCGGACGCTGGCAGCCAGCGGTTTATTTGGAACTCGCTACGGACACTCCCCAAATAAAGTTACTAATGTGTGGTACTTAGGTTTTTTAATCATTATAATTAAGTTTTACTTCATTACCTCTTTTTAGGTAGCGTCTCGTTCTCCGTGGGCCTTATCTTACCTGGCTGAAAACTTCCAGGCTGTCGGACTCCGTCCATTTGCTCAGCAAGGAGACTTCTGACCCTGACCGCATCTCAGCTGCACCCAGACGGGACCCTTTCCAACCCACTGCAGCCCAGACAAGCACAGGGCGCCGCCATGTCACAAATAATTCCATGCTTAGAATTCAGGCCCCTGAATTGGGGGAATTTACCGTAGGAGCTGACTGAAGCAAAATGTCCAGATTTAATCACTTCTGAATTTAATTTCACACACATATTTTACTCCTGATATCCTCTGCATCGAACACTTTCCCACAAGAAGATGAAGTGGCGAACACGGTTCGCTTCCCCCGGGGAACCCATGCCCAAGGTGTGTGTTTTGCTTCATTTTTTAAAGAATTCTTTTGGCCAATACACATCCTCCGAGTTACTGTGTAAAATCCAGTGCCTGATTCCGAAATTGTGTGCATCTGCTGGACATACACCCTGTTAAACGCTCATGACTGCCGACAAATGTGAAAAGTATTACCAGGCCTATTTTTAACATTGTTTTGGCAAGGCTGCTGCTGTGGGGGGGAAATTCCTATAGAATCTTAATGAGCAAACTGAATGATTCTTTGAAATGTGGTTGTGATTCCCCGACTTATAGTGGTGATGTCAGTGGTGCTGAGAAGCAAGAAACAGTAGAATCGCTCATTTGCCAGCAGGCTCCAGAGAGACCCCAGAGGGCTGTGCGGACGGGCCTGCGCCTTCCCTACCGCTCTGAGGGCTACGTGTGTCCCCGCCCAGGGCACGTCTCACGCGCTGGGTCTGCCATCTCTGCGAGCCTGTGTCACCGAAGGGCACACTGTCCGTGTGTGCTTTTACGGGACCTGACCCGCCGCTGGCCTTTTTCTGTTTGTCACCCGCATTTGTCTTCCAGAGAAGGACCACCTGTTCCAGCTGCTGGAGAGAGACATGGCTTTCCTCCCGCTCCCTGAGTCCCCTTGGTAGCACTGAACGGCAAGGGACCAGAAGTTCAAACTCTGAGGACAGGGGAAGGGAAGCCTGAAGGAGGCCTGTCCGCATGTCCTCACGCACACCATCCCTGCGGCCTCCTCGCCACCCACTCTGAATCCTCTGTGTCCTGTCCTCAGTGGCACCGGCCCCATTGGAACGAGGCGTCAGGCCGTTCAGCTCCGGTGACTTGCACAGGCTGCGCCCTGCACACAAGCAGGCCTGGGGGCCCGCGTGGGGCCTTCACCAGCGGGCGCTGCCTGGCCGAGCCTGGCGTCCTGCTCGGGGACACGTGTCCGCCTAGAGCAGTGATGGCGAACCTATGACACGCGTGTCAGAGGTGACACGCAAACTCATTTTTTTGGTTGATTTTTCTTTGTTAAATGGCATTTAAATATATAAAATAAATATCAAAAATATAAGTCTTTGTTTTACTATGGTTGCAGAGATCAAAAAATTTCTATATGTGACACGGCACCAGAGGTAAGTTAGGGTTTTTCAAAATGCTGACATGCCGAGCTCAGAAGGTTCGCCATCACTGGCCTAGAGCAAGGTCGCTCATAGGGAGCACTGATTCTCACTTCTCCACCCAGAGGGGGCACCATTCCTGAGAGGACACATTTTGGGGGTTTTACAGAGTCGCTGTGAAGGCTCACAGGAACCTGGGCCCGGCCCGGGAGGGTCAGGACGCGGCACACCGACGGGGCAGAGCTGGCTGAGTCCGCCGTGAGTGTAAATGGTGTCGCCGCTACTATGGGAAGAGTGCCCCCGATTAGTTATTTCGCCCTGGACAGCGAGTCTGGAGGCCCTCCGCGTTTCAGGACCCACCATCGCTACGGGAGGAATGACGGGGTTCAGCCCAAAGCCTGCGGGACCAGTGTCGACAGAGAGCTGTGCTCCGTTTAAACCAGGGGCCAGTCTGGTTCTGTTCTGGGGGAATGAGCGGCGCAGTGGCCTGACGGTTCTCTCTGAATCTGTCATAAAGGCACAGGCTCACTGACCTTTGGAGCCAAGGAAGCCTGGGACCTAGTGAGGTCCAGCCTGCACTTTCCAGGATGGCCGAGGAGCGGAGGCACGGCCCCCACCGGCCCACAGGTGGTATCTTCTCCGCCCAGGACCCTGCTTCCTCCTCTACATGCATTTTGCCCTCAGCCCGATGCTCTAGAGCAGTGGTTCTCAACCTTCTGGCCCTTTAAATACAGTTCCTCATGTTGTGGCCCAACCATAAAATTATTTTCGTTGCTACTTCATAACTGTAATGTTGCTACTGTTATGAATCGTCATGTAAATATCTGATCTGCAGGATGGTCTTAGGCAACCCCTGTGAAAGGGTTGTTCAACCGCCAAAGGGGTCGCGACCCACAGGTTGAGAACCGCTGCTCTAGATCTTTGGGGAGAGGATTCCAATTCGTGGCCATTGACCCCTCGTGCCCACTTCCTTCTACAAGTCTTCTGGGAAAGGCCTCGCTGCCATTGATGACACAGAGTGACATGATGGCTCCAGCCCTCTTCCCTGGCCATCCGTGATCGCCACAGGCTTCCAAAGGAACTCGGAGTCATCAACCTACAGCCATGCTCAGGCCCTGCCCCGCCCCAACCAAGCCTGCGTGGCAGCCGTTCTCAGCAGCGCTGAAGGCCTCTGTGTGGCTGCCTGGCTTCCCGGGGGCCTTTCCAGGCCACTGCGATGATATAGGAACCCATCCTCTCAAGCCCGCCTCCCACTTCCCCCAGCTCACCCTTGTGTCCTACCCCTTCTCCCCGAGGAGATCCAGCTCCCGCTGGTGGAGGAGGCCCCTGGAGCCAGCTCCTGACTGTTGCCTCTGCGAAGACCCCGCTGCTCCCGCATCAGCCCGGAGGCACGCAGATACCCCGCCGGAGCCCCGTTTCCCACGCCCCTCAGAGGGTGACAGGGCCTGTGCCCATCTTCCACGGGACAGTCCTGCACTCTCTGTGAACTCCAGCACATGCTTGTGGGCTCCTTCTTCCCGTGCAGCCCCCCTGAGGCCCCCAGATGCTCACAGCAGGGCTGCTCTGCAGAGGATGATGGCGATCGAACCCACTCCCGGAAGCTCCTTTGTCTTTGCAAAAAGGATGTGAATTTGGTAAATCTATAAATCAAGAATGGGGCTTCTGACTTCGAACTATTATATCTACAATGCTGCATATTAGTGCAACCGATCCTACAGAAAGCATTCACTTGTTACAATCCTGCTTTTATACACCCTCAATAAACACTGGCTTCCCTTTCAGAGACTGCGTCTCATACTAACATGCCATGATTCTTGCAATGTCACCAACCCCCTGAGACCTGACAATGCATCATTCGAGGTGCCATTCCATCCTCCTGCCCAAGAGTGTGACGGAGGGTGGGGGTGGGAGGGGGCAGGGGACGGGGTGCTGGCCTCCACACTGCTCCTCTCTGTGACCATTCACCAATGCCACTGCCATTATCTGAGATGTTGACCTCACCTGACGATTAGTTCTGCCTGATTTATTTGTGGCAAAGTTCTCCCCAAGCTCTGTTATCAGTTAGCTCTCGCCCAGAAACACTCCAAAATTCAGTAGCTTAAACCAAAAAGCACTTGCTATCACTACTGAGTTCAGAGGTGTTCTAGTCCCAGCCAGCTTACCGATGCGTCTGTGGTCAGCTGGGGGTTGGTAGGCAGTTCCGCTGTTTCTGGCTGGCCACTTGGTAGTCAGGTGCCTGTATCTGGTTTAGAACGGCCATGGCGGCAACAACTGGGGTCCTCTCACCCTCCGTCCAAGGTTGGTCCTAGAGACGTGGCCGGGTCCCATGAGCGAGAGGAGCACACCAGGTCTCTTGAACCCTGGACGCAGACCTGATTACAGTGTCATTTCTGCCACATTCTATTGGCCAAAACAAATCACAAGACTCAAGGGGTGAGAACATGGCTCTACCTCTCCTTTTTTGTTGTTGTTAATCCTCACTCGAGGATATTTTTTCTATTGACTTTGAGAGCGAGAGAGAGAGAGAGGTCAGTGTGAGAGAGACACATCAATTGGTTGCCTCCCCTACGAATCCCAACTGGAGCCCGGTGATCGGACCTGCAACCCAAGTATGTGCCCTTGATCAGGAATCAAATTGAGACCCTTGAGTGTGCAGGCCGACACTCTAACCACTGAGCACACCAGCCAGGGCTCGGCTCTTTCTGAGAGGAACTGCAAAGTGTCACTTGGAAGGCTGTGGACAGGGAAGAGTGACCACGTGTGGCTATTTGGCATCAATCTACCCAGGTTCCATGAAGAGCTTTTGTTTTCTTCACTCTAAATCTAAGCGACAACATGTCTTTATAATTTTAAAGCTCTCGATCTTGCATCCCGTCACATAACCTGCTGGCTGAGGACACCAGAGGCTCTGCGAGGCTGGGTGGCCAGCTGAGATCGGGTGAGTGCTGCCCAGGACTACAGCCAGGGCCTCCGCCGGCGAGCTCAGTCATTTCCGACACTCCCCTCAGATGGTCCCCTTCGGCCTAATGGCATGCATTTCAAAATAGTTTCCTCCGAAGAAGAGAGCAATCTATCTGTGGCCACGGGATGGGGTACGGGTGGGGCACATGGATCCCTGACCCTGTGCTTTGGCCCCTGTGTCTCCTTGGGACAGTGTTGGAACCCCCTCAGCAAATAATCCCAGCGAGAGGCTGTATTCTGCATATCCTCAGACTCTTCCCTCCAGGATAAGTGATTCCATGGCCCGGCTCACTCTAATGTCCTTGTTCTTGTTAAATCCGTCTCCCAGCTGGCCCTACCTTAGGACTGGTATCTGTTTCCACCCTCTCACTTCAACCTCTGGCCGCCTATCCCACCTCGGACCTGCCGCTTGCACCCTGAATCCGTTTTCCTCCCTCTCCTGATGACTTCCTATCTCAGGGCTGCTGTTTTTTCCCCAGGACTTACAGCCCTCATCCAGGTTTTATGGGACCGGCTGGTGACCTCACATGCTCCTCGACTGCACTGCAAACTCTTTAAACGCAACCACCGGCCCCGGAGTTTTATTAAGAAACTTGACCTGGAGCTCCTGGTTCTGTAACAACTTGGTGGCAGCTCTGTACCTGCTAAAGTGTTGCTTCCCCCGGCCGCGCAGAAGGATTGTAAAAGGTTAGGGCCCTGAGCGTTTGGACAGAGGCTGTTCACAGGGCTCCTGGGCCCAGAGAGGACTGGCTGCCGCTCTCCTGCCCCCGGCACACACACACACACACACACACACACACACACACACACACACACACAGGGCTGCTCTATGGCAGGCACAGAGGGCGGCCAGGCCGGGAGTGGAGAGAGGGATGGTGGGGCTCTTGGGGCTGCCCGGGACGCTGCCCTTCCCCTCACACAGGCACCACCAGCCTGCCCAGCTCTGCCCTGAAGACTTGGGGTGACCATGTGCAGACTGAGGCTGACTCAAAAAGCCCCCCTGTGCACTTTTTTTTTTTTTTTTTGCAAAACAGATTTTGGGGGAGCAGAACTTTCTCTTTCAGGAGCATCTTTGGGAATGGCCACGCCTTCTGCTTTTAACAGCTAAGTAAGGGGTGTCCCCTTATGAAAGCAAAAATGAATCTTCAAGACTTGCTGGGGAATGACAACGCTTGGCAAGTCTGAAGCGAAAAATGCTTAGCTTCTCGCTTGCTGCTCCCAGATCCTCTGGTAGCTCAGTGGTGGTGCGGACACAGCCAGGCCCCGCCGGGGAGTGAGAACTGCTTGTTTATTTGGAATTTCCTTGGGGGTGATAAAAAACAAACAAACAAAAACACACAAAAAGCTTGACACTCCGTAAATAAACCATGTGCAGGAACCTCAGAGGCAGCCGAGCTCTGAGCCCTTCTGTGCGATGCTGCTCCCCAATTAGCCGAGAATGCCCGCGGATTGTGCGAAATCTGCTAACGCAGCAGCGCGCCCGTGCCAGACACCTTCTCAGGTTTTTCCCCTCTGCATTTTGCTAATCCCCGGATGAAACCTAATCGCAGAGAAACGTTCAAGGTTGGACACAACAGGGAGGAACTCGGCGCTGGCTCCCACCCAGTGGAAATAACACGCCATTGGACTCGACAAGGCAGGAATAAGGATGTTAAACAAACACTCCGCGGCCCTCCTAGCAACGGCGAGCTGCCTTCCGCAGAAGCCGAGCTCCCTCAGGTTGTTCATCCTGCTCCAGGCCTTCATCACCTGAGATATGTTTTATGAGGGATCAACAGGCAGGGAAGTCCGCGAGCAAAAACTCCAATCAGGAAAAGAACGGAAAGAGAATTAAGTCTTTTATTTCCCTCTCGGGCAAAATAAAAGTAACAAAAGCATTTATATGTAATAAATATATAATTATATGTAAGAATTAAACTCCGGCAACTTGCAGTCGTAAC